GCCTTTCCTCTAGGAAAGGTGAGACTGTGTCACAGGATGTGAGATGAGGCAGCGCTCTGAGGGGATGGCAACGAGCAGTTCAGCTCAATACATTATACATCAAATTTATAAAGCTGACTTTGACTTGAGCAGGACAACAGGAGCCTTGTCCAAGGAGCTGTCACCAGGACTGGCCCTGCTTTAGGAGCTTCCAAAGATTTAGCAGCAGGAAGTTTCCATTTGCTTGGCTGCTTGTGTAGTGGATGGTATGGCTCTCTCTTTTCTATTTCTGGATGGTGTGGCTCTCTCTTTTCTATTTCAGGCTTTTCCTGGCTCGCACAGCAGCACCTTGTAATACCACAGCATCATTTATTTAGGTCCATGTGAGGAGGAGCTCGTGTTGGTTGGTTATTTATGCTTGGAAGTGGGTTATTTTCTTTCAGCACAGCTTTCCCTCGCCATTGGGGTGGGAAGGGACTGATGTATTCCGAAACAAGTCCAATCAAATGTTGTCAAAACTAAGAGGAAGTCTGATTTCACAGTCAGAATACCCTAAATGATAACCTGATCTAGTATTCAAGTTGCAGTGTGGTTTCCAGTGTCTTTGAATACAGCTACTCTGCATAATATAAAGTGTGATTAAATACAAGACACTGCTAAACACTTTGTCAAAGCCATGTTATGGTTTGGTAAAATATACCTTGTGACCTTTTATGAACATTTTTCACTGATTGCAACTGTTCTTTCAACCCTAAAATCAACACAGTAGTTTGAAATATTTAAATGCAGGTTTCCAGCAGCTGCAAATTTCTTTTGGTCTCATCTAGTTAGACAAGAGTCATGTACCTCCAAATTAATTTCCAGATTTCCTATTACTAATAGACCTCAAAGTGGTTATGAATGTCATTCATTTGTGCACTCTATGATGAACACAGGGAGAACAAAGATCATTAGGTAACATATTTCACAGCAGGACACGTTCCACTGAAAAAGTCCAGCCATCAAGAAAAGATGAGTATAGGAATCAACAAAAAGGGGACTCCTGAGCTATTTAATTTTTCATTTTGTACTTGAGAGCCATATTTTTCCTTGAGAGTCAGCTGATATCACCTGGGGCCAAAATTTAAACCTGAAAACGTGGACTGGAATGTTACAGATAGGGGGGAAAAAATGATGCAAGATCTTCAGCTTGTCTAAGACTTCATAGGGCTGCTGAGCACCAGAACTGTACTGGTCAGGACCATGAAGTGTCCTGGAAGTTTGATAAGGTAAAAATACAATGATAAACCAAAAGGCCTTGATCCTGAAACCTACAATTTTCTTAAACACTTTAAATAGCTAATCATTTGGATTTAATGTCTATACATATTGATTATATCTATCATTTTGTACACTAGAGAGATCCCATATTATTCCATTAATGAGTTATGGAATCACTGAGAAATAAAAATATAAATCATGACAAAATAGATCTATAATCATGGCTATGCTCAAAAAAGTGTTGCTGCAACAGCAAATAGCCCCAGTTGAAAAAGACAGAATAATTTAAGCACAGATACGGCCAAACCCAACCAACCAGCAGAAAGATTCTGATGTGTGGTTTGCTTATTTTCTCTGGTTTGATGCTTCAGCATTGCACCAAACTTGCAGCATGAATAAACCAAATGATAAACAGTCTCAGGTGACTGTCCTGTATCATTGTGTCCCCAAGAAAAAACATGAATGATATGGAAATGGAGAGGTTTTTCTTTTTAAAATTTGTTCAAACAAATTTGCATGGAGGAAATCTTGAGTCATAGTAATGTTTCACTGCCTGTTAATATTGCTACTATGCTCAATAATTTTAGTGGATTTTTATCTTAGAATGTGTTTAAAATGCTTATTTTAGAATGTGTTTAAAATGCTGACAGGCAGAAATCATCTTGGCACCTGGACAGATTTTCTGGTGAATTGCTTGACAGGTTATAAACCTGCAAACATGTAATTTTTTTTTTTGTTTTGTTTTTGTTTTTTACAGTCATATTAGGAGTGGACACACTTCCAGTCCAGATTAAATATGAACCTTAATATACAAATTAGGTAAAATACCAGTGGGTAGTCAAATGTCCCCTGTGAGAAATTCCAAGCCATGCCAGCTGAATCCAATAAAAGGACAGGAGACCTTGGGGTGTGTAGACGTAGAACATGATTTTATAATATTTTTTTTTTCTAAATGCAACTTGAGATATTACCAGTGAAAGCACAGTAACATTTAAAGGGAATTTGTGCTTCTCCTTGATATTTCCTGGCTAGCATATCTAGTGCAAAAGTCACAGGATTAATGACAGAATCCAAGACATAGTGTGGTTTTTTTTGTGGATTTGTAAACATCTCTCCCAAACATCTATCCATGCTCCTTGAATATGGTAAATCAATCCTTGAATATTAGCTACTGTATTATATAAAAACTGATTTATTTTGTATAACATGCTTTTGTGAGGTAGGAGTTTATGGTTGTCAGTAATACAAGTCCAGAGAGCTCAATGACTGTCTGGAATCAAGATGATTAATCCCCTTTTCTCAGAGACCTGATGCTGAGAAAGAATCTCTCCAGCATGTTGGTGCTGTTTTGTATAAAATTTTTAATTTGTTAGAAAGAAGAGCATCTTAAAATTTTGTGCAGAAAGCAGCTGAGCTCCATTTGAAGCTGTTCACAGGACCAATCTCCTCCAGGGCCTGTGTCCCTGGTAGAAGCTGGCGTGGACATTTGGTGCACATCTGAAACCATGTTCGCTTTCCTCCTAAGGAATTTAGTCCATGTGTGGTGAAATAACTCTGTGAAATTCCAAATAATACCCAGCAAGTGGCCATGACTGGGAAATTTACCTCAAAATTGCAGCACAACTCTGAACCAAAACAAATGGAGGTGTCATAACTTCTCTCCTTTATTGGGCTTTGCATTGGTAACTTGGTAAAGAAGTTCTGTCTTCAGGACTAAAAATAAGAATTTTTTTTGCAGGCATTATTGCATGGCTGATTTGAAAACCAGCATTTGATTTCATTGACTCATATGCTAGACAGGTGAATGCTAAGTCTGGACACATCAGGTTTTCCCAGCTAAATCCTATGACCAAAAAACATTTAAAAAGGAAAACTTTTGCAATTAATCTCAAATGTGCCCTCATCTGTAAATACAATCGTGAGACCTGCTTAAATGTGAAGAAAATTTACATGTCTTCAAATTTTTTAACTTTTCTGAATGTAAATTATCATACATGCAAAGAATTATTTTAATTGGCATAACTGATACCATTTCTTTCTGTTTAACTTTGTGCAATTTGCTTCATTTCCCATTGCAACAAGCAGAGATTTTTTTTTTTTTTTTTTCCTGAAATGTTTTTAACTCAGCATTTTGGAAATGAAGAGCTGTTGCTTCAACAATGAGTTCTTCAGGCTGCCACGTGTGAAAACACCTATAAAATATGTAGATAGTCTGTATTTAGTAGGAAGATGGCAAATCAGAGCTGGCTGTGTAATTCTTAGTGGGTGTGAGATAAAAGCGTGAAGGGCAATGCTCTTGGAGAGCCAAATGGGGAAAGTGCAGTGGGAAGTGGGATGGAAAAATATCTGAGCTCCTTTCTGCCCCAAGGAGTGGGGAAGGACATGCTGTGCAGTGAGTGTTGGTATTCAGGAAGGAGGTGACAGGGAATGCTGCCCTGCTCAGTGGAAACCTTGACAAAATGTCTGGGCAAATCGTTTCTCTGATAGCCACGGAGCTCTCCCCTGTCTGGTTTTCCCCATGCAGAGACATTCTTTCCCCTGCTTTACTAGGGCCCTGAGAAATAGAAAAGAAGATGTCATCTCAAGCTAATTCTATAAACACTGCTATCAGAAAAGACATTTTAAACTATCATAAAAAGGCCCATTGTGCAACTGGACTCTTGGAACAAGAGTGGCTTATAGCTCAACCATTGTTAAAGGTTAATGTTCCTATCATTGCATTCCTTGTTCTAGTTCCCATAACCAGGCTGTAATGATAGATAAATATATGAGCTATTTCTTTGTGTTGGCAAAATCACAATTCAGAAAGACATAGTTTCCTAGGTTATTTTTAAACTAATATGCTGGTTTATAGCTAGATGAATAAACCCATCTCTTTTTTTAAGAGAAAAGACTTTTAATGTTCTGTTGCTTTTGCAGAATGTGAGCATTTGTGAACGTTTTTGTCTATCAAAACAGAGTAACAGCTTTATGAAGTCAACTCATGGACTGAAAAGGAAGCTAATTAAAACAATAACATTAATTTACTGTTGCCAAATGTTAACTAGTCTTGTACTTTCCACAATTATTTTTACTGTTGTACAAGAATTTGAATGCCTTTGTCATTGTTGTGCATTATGTTCCTGTGAGTGCTGAACGCTGATTCCAGGGCAGAAATTCTATTTTCTGTTAGCTGAGCAAGAGACTCTTTAACACAAGGAGCAAAGAAATGTCTTCTCTGTTTTAGAGGGTTGTTGTGCTGCTTGGTCAGTGCCCCAGGAGTGCATTCTATCAGTAAAGGACTCTGATAAAGTGTTATAACTTCTAAGAAACTCTGCAGAAAATTAAAAATTTTCCCGTGACATGGCAGGGGTAGAACACCTTATCCCAGGATTTCTTTAAAAGTCAGGCAAAATTCAGTCTTCACAGTTCCATTTGGTTTAGAGAAGCTTCTGAACATCCACAAAATTCCTCTTGCCCAGCTCTGCTCAGACATCTGCAGAGCTGCAGGTGCTTCTGAGCCGCTGGGTCTGAGTGATGGAGCTCGTGCACCCTTCACTTTCTGTTTTTCAGGCAGTTTTTAGGTGGGAGCACAGCACAGCTGTGCTCAGCACCTCTTCACAAGGGTTGGATGCTGTCTGGCTGCTCCTGGTTACAGGTTTTTTTGGTTCAGGGACAAACTGAGAGGAGAAGCAGGCCAGCTGCAGCTACCTCCTATTTTTGGAGTCAGTGTACTGGAACCGTGCTAAAAGTAATCCCAAATAATTTCTTTTTCTTACAGGCAGAGAAAGCATTCTAGTAACTCTTTCCTGGCTCGTGGTGGTTTTGAACGGAAGTAAATAATTCCCCCTTTAACAATCTCAAAGAAAATACCTGTGAGAGGTAAGTTGATAAGATATTTTGATAGCATGGCCCCATGGTGGTGATATATCCTAGTGAACAGAACTTGGGCTCCAAATGGTGTCTGAGTAGATGGCCCTGGTTCCCTGCAGAGATTTGATAATCAGGTTGTTCTTTAGAACCAAGAGATGGATGGGAAGCCCAAGTAAGGAAATTCTTGGTTTTTAGCACAACAAGAAATAATGAAGGTCTGTCTGTAATTGCTTTCTGGATATGAGCTCTATAGCTGCCAGCACTGTCCAGGTAACCCATCAGGTAATTTTTCTACAGAAAATTTACACTTCATGGATTTTTAAATTTACTTGTCCCATTCCCATATAAAAGGGGAAATCTATTTTACAAAAAATATTTTTTTATTTAATTGTATAGAAAGAAATTCAGACCTAATCCTCTTTAGCACTTAGATATTGCCAAGTATTATATTTTTAAAATATACTTAAAGGACTTCTTTCAAGGGAACTGCCCCTGCACTTAGAGGCAGGTGCTGCAGTACAGTTGTGAAGAATGTTGTTCTGCAAGCTGGAAGAGATTGATTAGGCAACTTTCACAAAAATAAAACCCTACTTCCCTTCTCTACCCTCTCTCTTCTTCCAGCCCTCCACTTAAACAAACCCCTGAGATAAAAAATAGCACTTAAAATTGTGTGACACATTCTGAGGAAGATTGCTGGGCTTGATTTCCTTTCTGTTTTCCCTTGCCTCCATACACAACCTTCAATGTCAAAGCTCAGAAGCTTTTTTTGGCAGGAGAGGGCTGTGCCAAGAGCAGGGGCAGCTCATGATGTGCTTTAGTGTGTCACTCATGAGTGCAAGCACACACCTTGGGTAACAGCCAAAAAACACTGGGGAAAAAGCAGGATGAGCATGGACAGTAAAAGATGCCTCTGTAAGGTATAGTCATGAAGACATTGGTCACATCCTGAATATTTTTTTCCTTACAATGGATTTGTTGCACATGTGAGCTTCTTTTTGTAGTAACAGAGCACGAGATATTGTGGGAAATGGAAAGATAGAAACTCCTACAGATGCAGGAGGGTTTGGTCTGCAGCCTTGGAAGGAGCTTGGATGGATGTAAAAATAAAGCACACAGACATTAAGTAGACAAATAATAAACTTATGTTTCCGTAGTTGTAAGAAAGAATATGCCTTAAGTGAGTGAGAAACTGGATTGATAAGATGGTGAGGGGTTTATAGTGCAGGGTTGTGGTTGTATAAAATAAGCAAAGAGTTTAGAAGTGATAATAGAAACATTTGTGTGCATGTGTGATAATAGCCATTGGGTAAAAGTATCCACAGTGCAGCAGAAATAAGTAAAGGTGTTAGGTTAGAAAAGCAAAATACACCCTGTGGTGACTGTCTATTAGATTAGAAAGTTCTATACTGCCTTGTAACAAAGAACTTGTGACTACTTTGTGCTACAACCAACTGCTTGCTCCTCTAGATCTCACAGCCTCTGTGACTGATGTTTATCTGAGCAATAAATCGATTTTAGCCCAAAGATTGTCCCATCCCCTCATTAAAAAGCAGTGACAATGATGAAAGATGACTGGGGATGAACATATCTGTCTCTTATTCAAGCCAATTCAAAACTTATTCAAGTCACAGGAAAAGGCTGCCCTGAGAGTGGAGCCAGTGCCACATGATCAGGATTTGTTCACATTTCCAGTGCAGCCCTCTCAGCATCCTCTTCATCCCCGTGTGATGTCAGGGGATGTGAGCTCCCACCAAGCACTGCCAGTGGCTGTGAGAGAGAGATGGAATTAATTGTGGTTGCATTTCTGGTTCTAATGCTGCTGTTTGCTCTTTACATGTAAGAAAAAGGAAAGGAGGAAAAGGGACAGCATTGTCTTTTCTAGCAGCTACACAATAAAGTGTAGCTTTCACAATCAATGGCTGGTTTTTTCCAATATTTTTAAGGGGGGAAAAAATAATCCTCCAGAGATGCAATCTTGAGCAAAGTACAAGAAGTTCCCAAAGGATGCTGAACATGAGCAAAAACATTTCCAGCATACTTATAGTGATGCTGTGTTTACTTTGTCAGTTAATGATTCATTACCCAAAACAGCTTGTGCATTACAAATGGCTCTGCACTGTATTTGTGGAGCTGCAAACTGTGAATGGCAAAGATGGCTTCACTTTTCTTGCAGCCATTTGTTTATCTGAACAGCAGAAAACAGAGCTGTAGAGGGAGTGGAGGGTATCATATGTTTATTTGTTTAGTCTTGCAGTGCCTTTGCTCTTTGATGAGAAGCTCCTCTACTCTCCATGGGCCTTCTCTTGGGTCTGAGCAGGGACCTGGGCCACAAATTGCCTCTATTCCCCTTCCAAGACCTGTTGCTCCATGGGCAGAGGGACACTACAATTGCCTAGAAGCTGAAGGCACAAATGAAACTGGTTTCCAAGAGCCTTTATAAGCTGCTCATGCAATTGCTGCAGGACAGAGAAGAGGTCAGAAAAATTCTGCTGGTGTAAATCAGTCCAGCTTGTCATGGGCTTTAAACAGGACAGAGAAGAGGTCAGACCAAGCATTCTGCTGGTGTAAATCAGTCCAGCTTGTCATGGGCTTTAATGGAATGGGCTGATTTATACCAGTCAGGAGTCTGACCCGTCACAGACAGAGATGGAAAATGCAGCTCAGTTAAATTCAGTGGGAGTTGTGCTCTCTTGTATGTGACAGAGCTGAGGTCCTGCAGCTGTGGGAGATGCATCTCGGATTTCCCCACTCTGGTGTTCTTAAAATTGTAGCAGAGATTTTCCATCATGGCACATTTTTATTTTATTGCCATCAGGCCATCTGAGCTTGGTTAAACATATGGTTGTAACTTTATTAGACTTTTTCTAAAATTAGTTTCACCCTGATGGCTTTCACCTTAACAAATTACCTCATAAATGGACATAGGTGAAAGCTGGAATCTTAAAGCATTAGTCTAAAATAACAAGTTTAATGGTTTTACTTTGCACATAATAGTTACAGAATTTGATCAAAAGCCCATTGTGGAGAAACTGTCTTGCCTTCAAAAGGCCACACTAGGAACACTTTGCCATTGCTGGTGCCAAAAGGCCCAAGCTGTTTATTTGCAGTCTTATCTTCAGAACAGTTTGGGGCACATTCAAACACAAGCCCACAGAGGGATGTGCTCAGAGCCTGAGGCATCCAGCTCCTCTGAGCCCAAGGTGCACACACTCCCTGTCTGACACCCAAAGGAAGGGCCAGTACTTCTGCATGGCCTGAAAGGCAGCCAGTGCTTTTCAAATCAGCAGGTAGAGAGGATTAATTACTTTATTCTTACTTGTATCTGGAAAGGAGAGAAAGTACACTTTGTTCAGCATCACCAGACTGTACTGCTCCCCACCTGGGGCTCACGCAAAGGAGCTGTGAGAGAGAAGAGCTTTGAATCCCCTTACAGAAACTATTATTGCTTTAAAAATAAACCTGCCATTTCCTGGCCGTGCAAAATTTGCATATTTCTTGAATATTAGGGTATCAACACAGAGATATTGATCAATAGTCTCAGATAGTGTCTGCAAATCATCTTTTCCCCCAGCATTTTTTTTTTGTTCCTGTTGTTATCAGTTTTTATGAGCGCTGTGTATCTCATGAATGCCAGCTTCCAGGGTGATATAAATCTTAGAGCTGTGAGAACTCAAAAGATATTTGCAAGCAATTATGCAACAACTGTATTAAAATAAAACAAACTGGGGCCAAAGTCTAGACATTTGCCTTTCAGTTATGTGATTCTTATCTCTGTCATTCAGTTTCTCCATGGAAATGGTCAGTAAAGCCTCCCCACAGAAGAAAAGATAAAAGGTCAACAGCAGAGTTAGCCAAGCAGTAAATTTTAAACTGATATTGTATAATCTTTCATTATTGAGTTAAAAATTTAAAGCCAAATGATGCACTATTTTAATTGATAAGCCTTCCATAGGTTTCACTAGTAACTGCTGCATTCCAAGGAGCTGGGATCCAATACCTTTTAGAAAGCAGCAACATGAGGGTAGCTTCCAGATAAGCAAAAGTTGGACTCAGATATGGAAACTGAAAGAGGACTCTGCAGGATTCAAGACAATTTTCAGAGCTGAATGGAACAAAGACCATAGAAGCTTGAGGTCTCCTTTTGAAGAGTGAGCATGCTGTGTATCTTTGCAGATTGGTGCTGGTAGCCTTTAATTCCTTCTGCAGAAGTTGAATCAAGGGCTTTACATGAGTTAAAACATAGTATGAGCAAGTAAAGAGTACCAACAGATACAGGAAACTGGTGAAGAAATAATCTAATGTAGAACTAAAAGCATGGTGTGACTTCAAATTAATGTTCAATTTGCAGTTACATTGACAGACCTAGAGAAACCACTGGGATTTGTCACATAAGTGAGATTAGGGGAATTTGGACTCCTCATCAGATTGTACAGCTATTAAGTGATATATTGTGATGTTTTTTGGACTCAGTAGAGGAGCTTCTGTCCTCAGAGCACATAGTGGAGGAAAGAGCAAAAGATACTCAATCTTTCTGGAGAAAACAAGATCAAGATAAAGCAAGCAGGCTGGTGGGGTTGGTAGTGATCATAATTCCGATGGGATCCAATTGTCTCTTTTTCCTAAATGCTGCTCTGTATTTCTATGGTGTTTTGATTTATGAAGAAAACTTGTGGAAGCTTCATTTCATGAGAATAGAAACTAGATCAGTATGCAACTGATCTCTTGTTTCTTTAATGTCAGAAAAATAGAATGGTGAAGTCTTGTGTTTATACCCTTATTTCCAAAATCCTGTTGCCTTATCATGTATTACATTGCCAGTTCAGATGCTTTCATAAACCTGAACTAGTGCCTTCATCTAGGCTGTCTAGGTAAGTTTCTGTTGCATTCATTGTTGTCATAGAACAGCCACATATTTTGATGGCTTTTTCCCTTTCAACTTGAGGGCATATTTACAAGGCACATTATTTCTGCTAATATTTCTATTAATATTTATATTAATATTTATATTT